ACTGAATCGCAGACTAAGAGATAGCTATAGACCTAAGCAGCCAGGTAACAAACTTACTGAGGTTGATCTTTATCCATCTGTGGCCACATGTGAAATGAGCTTTTTGGTTTGGCCTGAGATGCTCTACTTTCAGCCAGGTAACTGCTAAGGTGCTTGAAAATGTAAACTTATCACAGAGGCAGAGCAGGGTTTACACATTTAATGCTCTGTCAGCTTGCACAAAATTAAGTGGACAGAATGGAAGGACAGCATGATGTGCCCTCAGAGCCTCCCTGTTAGGCTTAGCAGCCTTGACAGTGTCTGTCTATTTATGTAATTGCGTGGAAAATAAGGAAATAGGAACTGGCACAGTCCTAATCTGAAATAAAGAACCTCTGACTTGGGATCAACTTTGCCTCAAGTTCCTAACATCATGCCTTTTTGAATGGATAAAACTGAAAAACCATAACATGAAAACCATAATACTACTCTTGGAAGCAATTTCTTTAGTGAGTAGCATGTTAAATTATGCACTGGATTATGATTCTTAAAGCAGATTCTGTAGTTTAGAAATGATTCCTAGCTATGTAGGTGATAAAATGGGTCAATGCCTGAAGTGTCAGGTCTTAGATAACCTTGCTAAGAGACCTTTTTCTAGGAAGTAATGGCAGCTGATATACCAGTTAGAAGGTGGCATTTAAAATGTCTTATTTTATAAAATAAATAAGGGAGGGAAGTGATACTATTATGTAAATATTCCAAATGAACTGAGGAAACCACTAGTTAATGTTATGAGTGTAAACTTGCCTGTTGAGGACTCCTGTGTTTAGAAGAAAACCCTTAATTTTAGCATGGTGTGAATAAAGTGTTAGTCTTGTAATATTGTAGAGGTGAAGTAACATTTGTTCACACATTACAAGCCTCTTAATAAAATTTTTGAAATGGATAATTAAAGGTGTTGATGTGAACCCTCCCTAACTAAAAATGAATACTTCTTATTAAAGTATGTAGTGCACAGAAATGCCTTGTTGGAGAGGGTTAAAAAATTAAGAAATGTACAATGCCTACATCTTTATCCACTGTGATAGTTTACATTCATATTAGATGTATGTTTCCTAAGTGCATAATAGCAGCATTAGTGAGACTTTTTAATATCATTAAAGTTTTTTTTTTCTTTTTTTTTAATAAAGCTGTGTATTACTGGTTTCAATAAGAGGCTTTTTAAGCATGTGTGTATTCTGGAGCACGTAGATCTCTGTTCCAGCCTGGAGTCACCGTAAAACTATAAATATTGTTCTCTATGTTTCATAGGTGCTTTTATGGGACCCTCTTAGGCTTTAGTCCTCTAGCACTGAGGCACAACCCAAACTCAAATTGCAGCAATAATATTCCCCATAATCCAAAATGCTATGTTGTACTTTCCATGCACAAAGCATGGACTTAAATATTGGTTTGAAAATCAGTAAGAGATTTTATATTCACTTTTTTTATTTTGTGGGGAGAGGGGTGGATTTTCAAATACAACTATTACAGTTTATAGGAGTGGATTTGAAAGAAAAAATATCCAAAATTTCACAATGCTGTAGTTCTGTGACAGACCTGTGTACTTTTTGAAATAAAGATGTTAGAGAAAGCAGTAGTCTGTCTTTATTCTAAAGCAGCATTTATGTATGGCTTCAGTTTCTTCCTTCTGTAATTGAAAGTTTATTAATAAACATAGCTGTGTATACCACACTGGCATTAATCACTTTATTTCTTGCTTTTTATATTATTTTCTAAGAAGAAAAAGAGAATAAAACTTTGAGTGTTTCAAGTCCATATTTAGACACTTACTGTTAAATTTCTAATTATAGATACACAAAGGTATTGATCAACTTTAAAATCGAATCTTGGCAATCGCATTAAAAATCCTTAAACATAGGTCGGGAAAGGAAGTTCAGATTATTTGAATTTTAACAGAAAAATTGTTTATCAGGGCCAAGAATCTCGACTTTGCCTAAAACAAAAACAAAATAACAATATCTGCAGTATTAACAAGCATGTGGATTAAAATGTCTTGTTTATGCTGTAGACTGATCTTTTTTTGGTTCATATTAAGTTGACTTTTGGGATATTCTATGCCCCTTGGCGTTGTAAACCAACTGTCCTTGTAGTTTTTTCTAAGCTGAACTCAATGTCTCCATTGTCATCTTGAAAGTTGCTCAATTTTATAAAACAAATCTGTTAGTGCCAGGTATAGGCTGTGCTGGTATTAGTGCCAGGTATTTATATTTAAGCTGTTGGAGATCTAAGTAGCTTAGATTGATTAATATATGCATGTCTTCATATGGTAATGCATACCTGTGCTATGTCAGATGTTTCAGTCATTACTTCATGTATGCTTGGGAAATCTGTGTTTAATACGTATGCACACAAGCATTTAAATTTACTGCTTAAAAAACAAGAATGCTAGTGAAAAACTTTTTTTTTTTTTTTTCCAAGTTAAAATTCAGATTTGGGTCTAAATACAAAAGGCAACTTATTAAAAATAAAGGTTCAGATAGGTTCAGATTGTAATCTTATTTGTGGGGCTCTGGGAAGCCTTTCCACACCCCTTTTATGTGAATTCAAGATGTCTGTGCCTTTCTCAGCTGGCAACGTTGCCCCAGATAGAATGTTCATGTCTCAACTGCCCCAGCTCTGTTGTTTAGAGGAGATATTTAGGTGATGCCTATGGAGGGGAGAAGCTGGGGAGCCCATGTGCATCTGTTGGCAGGGCTGGGTGCAGAACTTGCACCAGCTGCACTCTGGGAATTGCAGCACATCAGCCAGCACTCCCAGGTGTTGAGAACGCCCTCT